GAAACTGTGAAATGAATCGTTATGTGTATATATATATATATATATATATATATATATATATATATATATGCATTATCGAGTGTGAATCCGTTAGTACGCGCACGGATTCGTGGAGAGTGACTCGATTTAAGATCCGTGAATCCCTATTGGATCCACAGATCTCCGAATCCATACCTCTGTTCACGTAAAGAATGATTTTGCTGAAAAATTTAAAATTGTGCTGGTTAAAAATTTAAAAATAATTTTCTTGGACCACCAAAGTAATTTAATTGAATCGTCAAAATAATTTTGTTAGAAACTCAAGCTGGTTGTTCGAATGTCAAAATATTTTGTAGCGTACTTATTATTTTTTCTAACATACAATTATTTTGGTGAACCAATAAAATTATATTCAGACGTATAAGCCAGTAAGCTTTTACATTTTTTAGGAAAATTATTCTTTCCATATGGCTTTACGAGTAATCGTTATCATAGCGATCATAGCGGAGAGAAAAAGCGAATTTAGCTTACTCTACGTGACTGGAACGTCGAACAATTTAGAATCGACTCTGAATAAACATCTAAAGTATTATCTTGGGTGTCAATGGGGCTGGGAGCGCCGAAGAGCGCAGAGCGATATCGTTTCTCTTGCATTTATTATCCCAGCGTGTAACGATCTCAGATTGCGCAATCTACATAAAAACGAATCTACATTTTCCCATCGTAAATCTCGCATCTCTTAAGTTTCTCTTTGCATTTACGTAGCTATTTTCTTTTTTACTTTTGATCATCAATCATTGCTCAAAGTATCATGTATCATCATATTTAATAATAATCATTGGTTGCAATATATAATAACATTTTAATAATTCATAGTGAAATCGTGAATAACGGTGTAGCTGGCTCCACGAGATTTGGTGATTCGTTGGATCCGAGTGAAAATAAGCGATTAAATTAAGAACGCGAATGATAAGATTAATCCGCAAATTCACCGTGTATTTGATACATTACGACACCGTGCATATCAACCGGTGCTCCGAGAAAGAATCTTGTATAATGAGGAGGGGAAAGAAAACAAATTGTAAGAATCAACAGAAATGTGATTTGAAGAAGTGGAAATCTGGACAAGTCGCGTGATGTTTTACAGGAGCATGCTAAACTGTGTGAATGCATTAGAGGGACACATACCGCCAGCAGAGAGCGCAGCCCTGATGGTGGCAGAGGAGAAGCCACATCCTGATTCATGTAAGGCTTTAAAGAAAAAAACCTGACCAGCATCAATCACGATACATTGTAACACGATAATCTGTAATCCCTGTCTCATCTCTGTTCAAAGACAAACAATTCTCTAAACGCGGCTGTGAAATCGCGATCGAGATTAAACATAGCCACTGACATATGTTTAGCAGAGAAAAAGCTAATCAGTATGCGTTCAATGATTCTTCAATATGATCGTTTCTTGCTTTCAGTTCTTTGCTAGATCTAAATGCAGGAACCAATCATATTAAAGAACGTCACTATCATTTTCTCTCTGACCGTTGCGATGATTGGGGGTGATCAGGTATTCTTAATTCGGAGTATAAGGTGAACACGATTCCTCGTAATTTTATCCGTTGATATACATGAATCATCTCTTTTTCATTGATGAGGAGATATTCCTATGCGAATGCGTTCATCGAATGAAAATTGACGTACACGCGCTGATCGATCTCCGTGAAACTCGAAGTCAAACTTTTCAGCTTTTTCATCGCATTAGATTTTTACATTTTTGCTCCTTTACTTTAAAAGTGACACAATTAAAAAAATTACATTTCTAAAAAAAAAGGAAGGACTGTTTTTCAATTTGTCAGAAAATTATTGATTAATCAAATAATATTGGTAAAAAGTATATATTCATGATCAAATGTCATTTTTGTTTCATAAAAAGTCATTTTGATTTGAGACGACTTTTTAAATCATCCTTTTTGAATTGTAATAATTTTTTTGAAGAACCATTGTTTTAGTGACAATTTTATTAAAATACTTTTTTGAATTATGATTTTTTTTAAATAACCCTCTTTGAGTTGTGATTTTTTTATGAAGTTAAGTTTATTTTTAGGATTGAGGGTAATATTTACTTAACTAATTCATGATAATACTAAAAAATCACGACTTTTTTAAATTGTGTCACTTTCGAAGTATTTTTCATAATTCATATTATTTATTTCTTGTATATTCTACACATTATGTTCATCTTTTAATCATTTCGTTTCACGCCTGATCACCTTCATCAATCATGCATTACGTCTTTCCGTGCGTGTTAAAATACTAAAATTGAACGTTATGTTATAAAAATTTAAAAAAAGGTAACGATAATCGTACGAATCAATGCGATCATCAAGTATACAGGAATTGTTTGCCACGTGTCATCATCTTGCATGCCATAATGCCGTATATGTATGTTTGTAAGTTTTCCTGATTTGTAGTCTCATTGTGGAACATCTGTTTTGAATTTATTTGCGAACGTTTCTTTTCTGCTTTCAGTATAATTCAGAAAATGCAGAGACGTCAAAGTGCTGGTTATACGACAGTCAAACTATACATTGTGCCGCTTCACGCTACGACAAGACACACGCGAGCGGTCATAGCGGGAACACTATTTAAATTTTATTCACCTTTTCGCGTTGACAACAGCTAATCAGGAAAGAAAATATGATGAAGTAGATCGACACCAGTGTGCCATATCGAGAACAAAAAAACCTTTAATCTGCTTATTTCATCATTCACTCATTAGAACAATTGCACAAATTCACGGAAAGAATAGTTTTACTAAAAGTATCTAAAGTTTAGTTACATACAAATTTGAAAATAATTTTATAGGACTATCAAAATAATTATATAGGATTAAACTGGTTGTTATACTAAAAAATATAATTTAGTAGAGAGAGAGCTTCATATAGATTTTTATTTTTTCAATAGTAAATCTTCAATAATATTAAATTTTAATAAAAGTTTACTTAATCTTACAATACATTTTAATACATACTTTTTTCAATAATACTAACTTGTAGCATTTATTTTTATATACAATAAATAAATATTTATTTAATAAAAAGATGATAGTTAAATTAACAGTTTTTATACCAACTAAATATATGTTTGTAAACATTTAGTAAATATTTATCTAATACTATTCAGATAAATATATATATATATATATTAAAATTTAATATATTTTAAATCAACTAAGAAAAAATTATTATTAAAACTATTATTTTGTTCAGTAATTAGTACATTTTTCTCTCAATGTAGAAAGTCGGAACATTTTGCAGTATCACTCATCATGCTTAAATTTTCTACATAATTATGTTGATAGTCTCATAAAATTATTTTCAGATATGTATCTATCTAAATTTTAGACACTTCAGCAAAATCATTCATGCAAATATTTCTTTCTTTTAAGCTGTCATCTGCTTGCGAGAAAAATTGAACTTAAAAAAAATCTGGACCGAATTTGTCTCTATTGATCCTCGACATTCGAAATACTTTCTCTCGCTCGCATTCATGAACTTCGGTTTTCACTTTACGTAATAATTTTCGTTGAACATTAATCTAGTATCTTATATACATATTCTACCTTAGCTAATTTTTTATTTCACACTGCTTGGGTTAGGCACTCTCGTGACATGGACTCGTTGGAGTTTCAGTTTCGAAGAGCTTATTTTTCTGACAGTATTTATTCACGCGCATACCCAGTAATCATACGAAAAATATATAGGTACAGAAGCAAGCTGTGCAGCAAACTTACGTTACACATGAATCGAACGACCGAATATCTCAAAACTGCCTTCTATCGCCAATGATTCTTGGCGATATCTTTCTCGCGATTATTTTTAATGTAATTATAAACGTTGTGTGTGTTTCAGAATAATAAGCTCTCTCTCTCTCTCTCTCTTTACATATATCTATTTATATCTCACACACATCTACTTATCATCGTCTCTGTGCAACACGACAGTTTTCCATCCTGTATTCGTATTTACACTTCGGACTTAAGTAACGTTACGTATTTACACGAAATGAGAAAGTGGTAGACACTCACGTACTGCTTCGTTTCTACGAATATTATATTATCGTATATTATGCGCTATCGACACTGGCCTTTGTAGTAGTTTAAAGGAAGGCAGGCCATTGTGAATATGTATATTCCTTATTGACACATATTATACTGATGTGTAGCATCTGTGAAGCAATCCCGGACTGAGGATTCATTTCGTTATGTAATAACTTCTTAGGCCAATGTACATATATATACTTGGCGTTGTTGTTATAATTTTAGTACGGTGCTGTACAATCAATTTTCGCAGCATGAATGGTGTAAGGGGCATGCGCGCATGAATGTAATCTCTAGTGCGTGTAGGAGCAAAAGGTAATTTCATCTCCCGTGACAATTTCGGACGTTTGGCTTTGAAAACCTTAAGTCACTTAAGTCGAATCGCGCGTTAATTAATAATTATAACTAAGATAATCTAATCTAAGGAACACGAATATATTCTTATTAATGTAATGAGTACTTTCTCAAAAATTAATTAACACTATTTTCAGATCGCGTGAATTTCTAAGCACATAATAGACAGCTATAATATCATTTCGTATACGGATGGTTTTTCTGAAGTATCCAAAAATTTATAGTTACACACGAATCTGAAAATAATTGTGATAGACTATCAAAATAATTATGAGGACACTCGAGTTGATTGCTTAGAATGTTAAAACGTTTTGCAACTTTGCTCATCACGCTTGAGTTTTCTGCATAATCATTTTGATGATCATACAAAATTATTTTTAGATCTATGTTTACCAAAATTTAGCAAATCGTTTTTCTAATTCCATTAAAGAATATTCGCAGTCTCTCAATAAGCAAAAAAATATATATTTTATAAATAATACGGAAAGCGCTCGTAAATATTGATCGTATTTCGGAAACAGAATAATTTTTAATGCTATTAATTAACCTTCTTTTTGGCCAGTTTTTAAGTGCGCTTAAATTGCATGGAATTAGCTCTGAGACTAAGAGGAGCGGCTATAAAGAAGGAGCTTTTTACGATAAGATCGCGTTGTCCTTTAAAACACTAAGGTGAAATAAATTTCCTTGCTGACGATCCGCCTGCATTTTTCGAGAGAATAAAGAACGCAATCTGTCACGGTGAAAATTAATTCGACCGAGAGAGGAAAGATCGAGTGCAGCCGCCGAGAGCAGAGTAGAAGCTTGCTTGCTCGTCTCCTATGAGACACATATCTATTATACACTTTTTAGCGATGTGTGTCCGGAAAAGTAGTTGATGAGATAAACGTACGCGACGCGGCTGTATCGCGCGCGTAGAGATGAGGAAGTCGCGTATCGTGAGATTAACGTGCACCCCACAGTTGTGTTTGCAGCTGGATCCGAGCGCTCTTCCGTCGCTCCCGCTCAGCCGGAGAGACCACCGCCCCCGCTTCCCCCGCCACGCTTTCCGAACAGCGGTGTCTGACAACGGGAAACAGCTCCTCTTAATATCGGTAACCTAGTGATCATGAACGCGCCGATACCGCTGCCGTTGCTGCTCACCACCAGCAGCCTCAGCCTGGAGACGCAGCTCTACGAGATCATCACCGAGAGCAGCAAGGCGTGCGCGGCGTTCCTGCGGCATAGTCTGCGCCGTGCGACCAGCCTCGGCTGGACCGCGACCGAAAGCTTCGAGACGTCGGCGAGCGGCGCGATGTACAATGAGCATTGAGAAGAGAACGCCGGGGAAAGGAGTTGGAAAGACGCCGTTTCGTACGGCGACGACGACGACGCGGTCAAGTGCGAAGCGCAGCATCCGCTGGACCGTCAATATGATTGCTCGCAGGCGATGCGATGTTGAGGGAACGAGCGTTCCCCTCCGTTGGTCAATCACGTCTCTCTCTCTCTCTCTCTCTCTCTCTCTCTCTCTCTCTCTCTCTTTTTTTCTCTCTGCGAGCTGAATTAGTTCAACGAAGAGCACGGGGTCGATCGGGGTACAACCGTTGAAAAATATTACCACCATACAGCACGCAGACCTTCAAAGGATGTCCAGATAAAGTTTCTACGTTCTAAGGATATTCCCAGAATGTCCACATTAGGATGTCGTGTGCTGTCTGGGAACGAATATTATGAGAATATATACCTCACAGCATTATATAGGATAAATGAGGCATCTCGCGATATTTTCTCCAATGATATTAGCTGGCCGTGATTATTCGAATGATTTCGCGTACGGAAAAAAGTGATTTTGCTGAAGTATTTAAAAATTAACTAGATACACACAAATTTGAAAATAATTTTGTTAAATCGTCGGAATAATTATGTAGACAATTCAAGTCTGAGCGTACTGCGAAAACTTTTAAAAATCAGGTCTTATATAGTTATTTTGAGATGGTCAAACTAAATAATTTTCTGATCTGTGTGTGTGTGTGTGCATTTTCAGATACTTACAGAAATCTAATAGAATTTCTTACTGAAAGACAATAATTAATTGCTTATTTTACTAAACTTAAAAAAGTACTGTAAAGTACTGTAGTGCTTTTAATACTTAAACAAAGTGATTAATTATCGTCTTTCAGAAGGTCTGTTTTCTACAACTGAATTAATGTCAACTTTTGGAACTTAAAGTGAGATACGTATATATACGTTTGGTATATATGTATTTGGTGAGAGCAAGAAGTTCTAGTGCAGGAATAAACACAGACCCGGCATTAAATTAGCCAGTATTAGATCTCTGTAAGGATTCGGCAAAACCGTTGTTTCCGATGTAGGAGATGATTATCAGGATCGTCGTCAAAAAGTATTCCGGTGTTGCGCTTACTCCTCGCGTCGAGATTACACCCCCCCCCCCC